TAAGAAAAAAAATATTTTGGTATTTTTTAATTCTAACACTAACAAGGTCCACTTTCAATCACTTGACAGATTGGCGAACTTACGGTCGATATGGAGAAGAAAATAGTCGCTAAGTCCAGAAACATAAGTCTATGCAAAGCAGCAGCGATAACTTTTGCAAAAGAAAAATCTCACAGAAATTTTGCAGTGGAAGGACAACCGAAGTGCAAGTACACAAGATATAAATAACAAAGGTCAAAAATCAGAAGAACCTGCGCTGAATTGAGTCCACATGTTTCCCGCAACAACCGTCCTTGTTCAAGAGTAACAGCCATACCAGTACGATCTTTTCCACTTTTACAGCAAATCACGGCTTCTCCACCCATCAGTTCACATGATGTCATTGCCCACTCGAAAATAGCAAGATTTTTTCGCGATGGTTCGCTTGATACCTGAGTTAAGACCATGTCTGCCAATGTAAACATAAATAGTAAAAGATTGCATGAAGACTCACAACATTTACGAGTTCCATAACAGCATCCCTCGCGCTTGGTTCAACCATATAGCGATTTGAGTATGCTAGCATTCTCTCTGCGCCTTCCTGATTTATAGCAGTTTCGAATGTAACGCCACCGAACGACTGAGCTAGCGTAGCCTCGTGGTTGACCTTAACCAATGTTATGGCTAGCCATGACTAGAATGGTTTCATTCGGGAACCTCGACCTTACGATATTCCCAGTTTTTTTTATTATGGGTTCGTCAAGGAAGATGAGAGCTAATTGCCATCTTTCAATCCCATTGATACTTCTTACTTCAGAATCATTGTACAATCTATTGTATTAGAAGAGCTGTTCGGTTAATGGTTTGAAGAAAGCAGGAAATTTATAAGCATATAAAGTAATTAGGATTAAAAAAGTAAACTGATTTTAATCATACGAATCTGAGAATCAAAATTAAACGTAAAACCTACTCCAACATTGAAGTATGCACAACAGACAGAGATAGATTTCCGTGATTTGAGAGGAGATGGTAGAGAATCATATATGCCGTGTGGTAATGGTAAGGAAACCTGAATTACGGGTAATCACAATATTATTTTTTGTTGAGAGGGTCATTGACCGACATTTACACAAACTTACATTAATTTGCGTCCGCTGACCAGAAACTAGAGGTACGCACGTACGGCAGACCTGAGAAGGAGCACGCACTAGGGAAAAAAGAACGCGTGATTCTAGCTGTCGCCAGGCCTCCCAAGCATCCTCTGCCATTCCTCTTTCATCTCCATATGCCGATAAGAACGAAGAAATTGTAAGAAGGAGATCGCCTGCTTCGCCTATAAGACTCGTTTTGAAATGGCTGTTAAAGATGCCTCCTGAAAATTCTTGCAATGCAAAGCTGTGGCTTGCTTATCATACAATTAGCAAGACCAGTCCGAGAAAATTGCGAGCGGGTGAGACAGATATGGTTTGCTGACCATCAAATATGGGCCAGCCTCTGTAAACTGTATCGACTATGGCTGTTGCCGCGATTGTGATCGCCTGTGAAAGGACAAAATCTGTTCGAAGTTGGATGTGGAAGTACAGATGAGCCATCGAACTTCTATGTAGTTCCGTTACTAAATCAGATTTTTTATGCACATCATCAAAAAGAATGGAAGGACTGAAACATTATGTGAGCGCTAGAGAGAATTACCCAGTCCAAACAGCTGAGCTTCCATAAACGACTCTGCTAATACCAGCAATGCGTCGAGGCACGCACATATTGCATCTTGGACGGATTTTTCGTAAACTTCACTTTTGCTCTGAACATGGACTTTCCAGACATCAGTGTAAAGAAGATCTGTACTGTATCCATCAAAACCTGTTCATCGTTTATTCTATCCATTACCGCTATCTTAGTGCTTAGGCTGACCAGCATTGCATCAATTGTGTCCAGTTGGTTTTGCAGACCATCGGGTACTTCCTTTTCTATCTAAAAAAATGACAAATTACAACACGTCTCAAAAAGAAGTGTCAGTAAGCAATGGAATTTTTAGGAAAAAGTACATTCTGTCCTAGGAATAACCTTCGTTTCTCGTCTTCCATCAGAATCTCAGCATAGTTCTCCAATCCCGCGACATTTTCGACCAAATCTTTCAGTCGTTCATAAGTCTAGAAAGTGATTCAACTGAGGAAAGCTTGCGATGAAGTCAAGAGCAAACTACATCTTTCACTCCGGCTGAGATATCTGAACAAAGTTGGCTGCGCTTCTCAAAACCTCCACTAGTCCACTCGACCTCTAGTCTGAACCACTAAACAATCTTTCAAAGATTAGCAAAATCAAAGTATGTACCTGTGGTTGAGCTGCCCTATATATTTCTTCAAGTCTCCTACAATATGTCGTTTCGAAAAGAATTTGAAATCGTGATAGGAATGATCAAGCTCCAACATAGGGAACAATCGCGTAAGACCGCCATTCTAAAAACCAGAACAAATATATAGTCGGTCCCCAGGCGTATTCTAGGCGGAGTCAAGCACGCATTGCGGCTAAGGTGAAGTGACGCGGCGGGTTGACGCCGGAGCATGATCGATGTCTGATATCAGCTGATCATCGATCATGCTCCGGCGT